CCGAGTGTCACGCCTCCAGTGTCCATTGTTGGTGTGTGGACAGCCAAGGACAGGAAAGATCCGGTACTAGAACTCCACCTGGCGCAACACCCTTTGACTGTGAAAAACCAGGTGCCAAAGCTAACCTCTCCTTGTCTTTCCACTCTGATGACTCTCTTTTATTTTTAATTGAAGTATAACTTTACAATGTACTTTTTAGAACGTCCTAAAAGCCACTGTGAGCAGCATAGAGAAAGCATTCAGACAACCAGTCCAGAGGGTCATCAACTTGCGGGAGCCTATGTACCCGAGTGTGATAATAACGGACACTACACTTCTCGACAGGTACTTTCTTACAGTTTGATGCATTACGTCTTTTGTGTAACGTCTATGCAACCAGATCAGTCCCCAAACCTTAAGGTCTTTATGCGCCAAAAACATATTGTGTACTTTAGTGTCACGGTTCTACTGGCCATTGTTGGTGTGTGGACAGCCAAGGACAAGAAAGACCTGGTACTAGAACTCCTCCTGGCGCAACACCCTTTGACTGCGACAAACCAGGTGCCAAAGCTCACCTTTCCTTGTCTTTCCTCTCTGATGACTCGCTCATATTTTTATTTAAAGTATAACTTTACAATGTACTTTCTAGAACGTCCTAAAAGTCACTGTGAGCAGCACAGAGAAAGCATTCAGACCACAAGTCCAGAGGGTCATCAACTCGCGGGAGCCTATGTACCCCAGTGTGATGCGAACGGACACTACACTCCTCAACAGGTACTTTCTTCACAGTTTGATGCATTACGTCTTTTGTGTATCGTCTATGCAACCAGATCAATCCCCAGACCTCAAGGTCTTTATGCGCCAAAAACATATTGTGTATTTTAGTGTCACGGTTCTACTGGCCATTGTTGGTGTGTGGACAGCCAAGGACAAGAAAGACCCGGTACCAGAACTCCTCCTGGTACAACACCCATCGACTGTGACAAACCAGGTGCCAAATTAAACAGTTTCTTGTGCTTACACTTTCTCTTACACCGTCTTGTATTTACAATCCATGCGTAACTTTGCAATGTAATCTCCAGAACCTCCTCGAAGCCACTGTGAGCAACATAGAGACAGTGTACAGACCACCAGTCCAGATGGCTATCCCATATTGGGAGCCTTTATACCTCAATGTGATGCGAATGGACAATACACGCCTCAACAGGTAAACACAAGAAGTATCAAGAATATGTGTCTTTTTCAACTAATGTGATATCCACATCCATGTTAGGAAGTTTTTGAGTGTGAGTATTTCCCAGGGAAGGTTGACAGAGTCTCCTGTCTAATCTAAAACTCTCACGTCCTGGATCACAGCGGAGGTTGAGGAAATTGAGTCAGAATGAGCCATGCTCAATGTCTGCGATGCAGATTCCAATTTGAGTTCATGTACATTTTGAGAAGATATCATTATTTGTAAAAGACCGCCAAATTTTAAGGAGAGCAGACGTAATATCCATCCATCCATTGTCCGATCCGCCTTATCCTCACATGGGTCGCGGGGCGTGCTGGAGCCTCTCCCAGCTGACTTCGGGCAGTAGGCGGGGGACATCCTGAACCGGTTGCCAGCCAATCGCAGGCCACACAGGGGCGAACAACCATCCGCGCACCACACTCACACCTGGGGACAATTTAGAGTCTTCAATCAGCCTGCTATGCATGTTTTTGGAATGTGGGGGGGAAACCGGATCACCCGGAGAAAAGCCACGCATGCCCGGGGAGAACATGTAAACTCCACACCTTGTAATGTGGGAGGAAACCGGAGTACCCGGAGAAAACCCACGCAGGCCCGGGGAGAACATGTAAACTCCGCACAGGGAGGCCGGAGCTAGAATTGAACGTGGTACCTCTGCACCGTGAGGTCGACGCGCGAACCACTGGACCACCAGGCCGCTTGTAGATGTAATAGTTAATTGCAAATATTTTACCTTTACTTCATGGCTAATTCTATCCTGGACTTCCTATTCTTTTAACGGGTGCTCTTCATCTTCTGGTAAAGCCTCGGTAATTTTTGGTTCATGAAATGTTTGTGGTGATTGTTTTCTTTAGTTTTAAGGAAAAATGAAGAATCGGCTTTATCCAATAGTTTTGGATAAGAAGTGTACAGGGGAGCCCATTGAGGCCTTGAAAAGTGATTTGCGGTCAGTCTCAAAAAGGACCGGTTGGAGGATGCACGTCTGTCACTTGGGTGTGGCTTCCAACTTTCGCAAGGTCTCACTTTCTGTGAAAGTCTGTTTATGTCAAGTCAACAAGAGAGTCTGGCCATCCCGATCAGCACATCGACCCTGCTAGGGCATTAGTATTTCCAAAGTATGAATGGAAGAATGATTGGACTGAAACATGCCGTTTGTTCCAGTGTCACGGTTCGAGTGGACATTGTTGGTGTGTGGACAACCAAGGGCAGGAACGACCTGGAACCAGAACTCCTCCTGGTGCAACACCCTTTAACTGTGACAAACAAGGTCTTAACTTAAATGTTTTCTCATGTTTATATGCAAGAACGACTGCATCAGATCAGGGTACCATCCAAAGTATGATATGAATTGTACTTGCCAGAACGCCCTCAAACTCATTGTGAGCAACACAGAGACCGTGCGCAGGCTACCGGTCCAGAGGGCAAGCCCATACCGGGAGCCTATATACCTCATTGTGATACTAACGGACGGTACACATCTCAACAGGTAAGCAATTTTTAAATTAGAGGCCTCATTTTTTTGCCATATGATGTTTTTAAACGTTATTGCCGTTTCAGTGTCACGGCTCGACTGGGCATTGCTGGTGTGTGGACAGCCACGGACAGGAAAGACCTGGAACCAGAACTCCACCTGGCACAACACCCATCGACTGTGAGAGACCGAGTAAGAAATAGACAGCTCTTACGTTCGGCACGTTTACTGAATATATGTTGGTAGATATTTGACAATGCTCATGCTTTCCATTCTCTCAATCGTTTTTTTTTTTTTAACAGATCAACGTCCTAAAACTCACTGTGAACACCACAGAGCAAGTGTGCAGACAACCAGTCCGGAGGGTTATCCACTGGTGGGAGCCTTTGTGCCTCAGTGTGATGCTCACGGACAGTACACACCACAACAGGTACATTCAAGAAGGTTTCAGACGTTCGTCTTCTCTACAGATTCAACTCTTATATTTTGGATGATGAGCTGACATACAGCCAACATACAGCACCTCCCGAATCCTACTTGGAATCACTTTTCTGAACACTCTGTATCTGATAGATCAATGTAGATGTTGAACTGCATGAAACTGAATATTCAAGTCATTATCGTTTGATGGGCTAGTGCCATGGTTCCATTGGACAATGTTGGTGTGTGGACAGCAACGGTCAAGAGAGAGCAGGAACAAGAACTCCGTCTGGTGTTCCTCCCGTGGACTGTGACGCTCCTGGTAAGCTGAGACCACTCTTCAACCACGCATTTCATGTCCTCTTGGATGTTTTACTCTTTGCCCTAATGACGTCACTCACCCTCTCTCCATCCGAGGCGCGCGCACACGCACGCACGCACACACACATCCACACGCATGTAGGCTAAAAGCAGTTCTTGCTGTAAACGAAACTTTTATGACTGTCCAAACATCTTCAGAGTTTGTCTAGTGGGAAGACGGATGGCCTGATTCCTCGGCAACCAAACCATAAGCAAACGTTGCCTTTTTCAGGGTGACGCCTGCCACCTGAATGGTTGTTGTCACTTGACAGTCACTTGTAGGCTTCTGCTTTCCCACGTTATATACAAATGACCATCGTCATCCTCGTCCTCTCCGTCTTGAAACATACGCAGCCTTTCCTGAGAATCAGCTGCAACTTTTAAAGTTCTCCAATAAAGTGAGTTATGAGATGGATTTTACAAGGTAAACACAAAGGCAAGACAAAGTGTGTGTGCATGTCAACAAAGGGACACTGCGCACAATTAATCACACCCTTCACATATACTGTAGATGTGATATACTGTAAACTCAAGCCAGGAACATCGTTTGAATATTTTCACAACGAATGAATAAAGTCAGATGGAATCTTCTTGTTTGTTGGAGATGTTTCGCTTTAAGTCAAAAAGGCTTCCTCAGTTTTAAAGTCTCTGGTGGTCACGAACAATATGGTTATTGCATACCCGGTTTTGCAACTGGCCGTTAACCTGCCTGGTAGCAAAATAAGTTAGTGGCCACTATTCCTCAAAGGAATTACCCAAATCAGTCATTCACCCGCCAGCCTGACGACGACAACCCTATCGTGACCACCCTCCGCAAAGATAAGGAGAGACACTCCACATCTCGAATTTACACCTTTTGGAGCCTTTTGGATTTGAGGTGAAACATGTTCCATGAACGAAAAGAGTCAAGTCGCCACGATTCAAACTTTGCCAATCACTGTGACCTGGATGACTGCCGATCTGCACGGGCACCCTCCAAACAAACCCGAGGGATTACTGTCCATCGTAGCCGAGATGCTCAGCTTTGTTGATTTGTCTCTCGCAGTCTACGCGGCCCCTACCGAGCGTCCTGAGAGCGTGTGTGAGCGCTGGAGAAGCAGTTTGATGGAGCATTACGGTGGGAAGCCAGAGCCGCAGCAGTACTTGCCCCAGTGTGAGCCAGATGGGCAGTTCAGGTAGTTCCTCATTCACGTCGTACGAGCCACTTATGTAGATGGCAACTGAACTCACATTCTGTGTTGAGAGATACTGTACCACTAATTCAAGTACATCTGACATGTTTGAAAAGAATTGCTGGATGCGTGCAAGGACAAGTATTAGTTATGTAGCACCCAATTGTAATGCATAATTTTAGACTGTTATTTTCACCTTTTGTTCAGTTTTCCAAATTTTTATGGCTCAAATGAGGCACAGTGACGTACTTGGGCCCCGGCATTAGTTGCCCCTCTCACTTGATATGCAGTAAGAGCTTGAACGCCTTTGTTGGCATCCTTGGTTATCTGGCACAACTGCAGATAGTTGGCTAGCGATGCCTACACCCTGAAAATGCATCTTTCCTTGTGATAGTCCACTGGCGCGGCCGCATTAGAGAACCTTGTTGTACGCCATGAGTGAGTGCACGTCACGGAAAGAAAGGCAGCAGTTCAAAGAGGGCGCTTTGATTCTCCAAGTCCAACCTTGATAGCAAGTGTGTGGACAAGGGCTTGCGTGGCCGCTTTAGAGTGCCTCGTTGTCGCAGCACGGAGCTCCCATTTCTTGAAGAAGGTCTTGATGGTGAATTATTTATTGCGCTGTTCCGGCCTCTCAGTCCAATCCAGTGCTATGGGGAGACCACCTACTGCTGGTGTGTGGACCAGGATGGGCGAGAGGTTCCTGGCACCAGGTCAAATGATGTCGTCAAGCCTGCATGTGAGCATTGGATCATCTCTGACAATATATCTTCTGTCAAAACCTCCCAATGTATGTGCCAACTTTTACGCCCCCGTCCCCCTTATTTTGTTGCAGGCCTTCCTTCGGTGGCCCCGCCCACCGTGCGCCCATTACCTCGCCCGGATGTGACACCTCCCTCTCACACTGATGTCACACTGCTTTATGCACAGGGACAGAAAATAGGAGCACTTCCTCTCAACGGGTCCAGACTAGATGCCAGCCGGTCCAGAACACTACTGACTCTACATGTAAAATGCACAGATGGCAACTTTGGCTTGAATGACTTTCTTATAAATGTGTTGCAATGATCTTGTCCGTGTGTGAATGTGTGTGTATGCGCAGGGCTCCATCGTTGTGGGTCTGTCATATGACTGCAAGCAGAACCAAGTGTATTGGACAGATTTGTCTGCGCGTACCATTAATAGAGCATCAATGGTGCCAGGAGCTGAGCCAGAGATACTCATTAACTCAAGTGAGTGATCACACAGACACATTTTGACACACTTGCTAATTTTTTGGAGTGATTTTTTTTTTTTTTTTTTTAATGATCTACTCTTTGTAGATCTGGTCAGTCCAGAAGGTTTGGCTGTGGATGTCAATCGAAGGCTGATGTTCTGGGTGGACTCCAACCCCGACCTAATCGAAAGATCCAACTTGGACGGGAGCGATAGAAGGACGCTTTTTGACAGAGACTTGGTCAATCCCCGGGCCATCATCGTGGTCTCATCCACAGGGTAAAGTTCACGGTCCTCCTTCTTCTAAACTCAGCCCAGTAGGGGTGAACGGCAGAGGCGTAGGGTTCGATTCCGGCTCCGCCCTCCCTGTGTGGACTTTGCATCTTCTCCCCCGTGCCTACGTGGGTTTTCTCCGGGTACTTCGCTTTCCTCCCACATTCCAAAAACATGCGTGGCAGGTTAACGGAATACTCGAAATTGTCCCAAGGTGTGAGTGTGAGCGCGGATGGTTGTTTGTCAAAGCGTGCTCTGTGATCACTTCTCAACCAGTTGATGGTGTACCCCGCCTACTGACCAAAGACGGCTGGGATTGTCTCCGGCACACTCCGCAACCCTCGTGAGGAGAAGCGGTGTAGAAATTGGACAGATTGCGGTTTCATGTGTGATTACTTTGTCATGTGTAACAAACAGAAGCAATCTGTTTTACAATAATCAGGATCGGATTTATTATACATAAATGCTTTGGTCTTAGCGATTAGGCTTATTTTCAAATAAATGAAACATGGATTAATATGTTATATATACAGTTTCTTTATCTGGTTCAATTAGCGTTGTTAACTTACTAAACCCTTTTAAGCGTTCACTAACTTGGCAGAAACATAAGAGTCAGATTACAACAATAATGCAAACAAGCAAGTGGCTTTCTCACGTCAACTTTTTCCAACAGTGATTTGTAAATGTGTGACTTGCACTTCTTAAGCTCCTGACCCTGTATAACTATATAAAATACACATAATTATAAGAATAAAAATAAAGCCTCCCGGGCAACCAAAATGAAGCACTTTGTTTTGTTTTTGTTTTTCCCTCCAAATTGCAACCATTGACATTTGAAAATTGCCTTCAACATAGCGATGTTGCTTTAAATGAATTCGTCAGCCCTTCCCCAGAGCCGGAACCCTCCAGCGACGCAACCAAGAGGTGATCCACTGTGGGACGATGCACCAACAAGTCCTGGATCTCGTTTATTAGCACTGACGTCTTGTTGAGTCTAGTCTGCTCCACACTGGAGACATGGCAGCCTCCACACAAGTCCATCACCGGCTGATAAAATTTCAATCACTGGGCTTTTTTTCGCAACATGTGTTTACTCTCTGTAAGACACGAGCAAATTTTAGGGCTCTCTTAGTGACGGCCGCCAAGACTCGTAAACACAGAGCAAGAGCACCAGGCCATCAGCAGTCAGCTTTTCAGGAATAACATCTGCTTTCCATCATTGCAATTAATCACAGATCATCAACAGAAAATGTGTGTGTGTGTGTGTGTGTGTGTGTGTGTGTGTGTGTGTGTGTGTGTGTGTCTGTGTGTGTGTGTCTGTGTGTGGCTTGGGAAGATGTTGGTGCGTTTAATCCATCATTAAACACAACAGCAATAAGCCAAATAATGAAACTTAAAATGTCTGTCGGTGATTAGTTTTTGACCTCAGGCCAATTTTATGCATTTGCTCGCGCACGCTGTGTGTGTGTGTGTGTGTGTGTGTGTGTGTGTGTGTGTGTGTGTGTGTGTGTGTGTGCGCGCTCGCACGCGCACGTATGCGTCCTCTGACCAAAAGCTAAGCACCCAAGTCAATTAAATTCAGTGCATGCATGTGTCAAACTTGCACACACATACAAGCAAATGTGTGAGAACACATACAGCCCCCCCACACACACACACAAACATGTAAAGCAATGAAATGATGACGAACGACGCACATGCGCGAACACTCTTGCGCAAACATCTGCTCAGACATTTATCAGACTGATTAACTGCCCCAAACTGTGCGTGCTTGTAATTTGATAGCACATGCGCTGTGTATTACTTCCTTATTCCCAATCGACTTGCCACCTGCATCCCATCATTTATGATGAAAAGCAGCACCCCCCCCCCACACACACACACACACACCGCCTGAAGCTGTGATCATACACTTGAGCATCTTTGATGAGCTAATTGAACCCGTTCTATTCCCGTCTGAGAGTCTGTTCCGATTTACGGATGTGTTTAAGCAAAGGGCAAAAAAAAAAAAAAAAAAAGTCTGAGGATTCCGCTAGCTTTGTGGTTGCAATTTTACCCAATATTAATTGAAGTACGCTGGTGCCTTCAGATACGAGTGACCCAACTTACAAGTGTTTTGGAGATATGAAACATCACTCGACCGATAATTTATTTTGCTTTGTTTTGTGTGGCAGCAATTCATTTAACTTCACAATTTGCAGCAGTTTTGCAGAAAATTAAGGTTTTTTTTTTCTGGGAAGGCACTTCAAGCTGTTTCATGCCACTCCCAGTTGAGGTTTACTGTCAAACAAGTCATCAAAGAGAGTTACAGATGGCCTTAAGAATGCGTTAGCTCCATGCTAACACATCATGGAAAACGCCATAGACTGGCTAATGATTGACATTAATTGTTGTGGTGGTGTCATCCTTCAACCAACAGATTCAAACATAAATGGTGGAAAAATATGAAGATGGGACAATATAAATATGCTCACAGGCATTTTGTATATTCTTTATCCTCTGTGAAAAACTTGCAATATTATCCCTCGTTTATTAATTATGATTTTTTTAGGGAGGGGCGAATCCAATATTTTTATGTACTCGTTCATGTTATAGAAACAAATGCAACTTCCAATGTGAATAAAACACATCCAGGATGCGACACTCATGCATACAAAGCACGACGTGAATGACGTCCAACAACGAAAACGGCGTCACGTTGCGCAGTGTTCACAGAAGTAAATAAGGTCCTGCGTGGAGGGGCTCATCTTTTCATCTCATATTGACAAAAGAAGGAGGCGGGAGGAGGTAGAAATATTTTGGCGAAATGAGGCGACGCTGCTCGATCTCATTTTCTCGAGACATCTACTAAAGATGACGTCTCATTATCACCACGCATAACAAATGAACCGCCTGCGTGGATTAACGACAACTACTGTCGTCATGCTTTCATTTTCGAGACCTCATATACACGACTTCAATGCTTTCACTCGGATTTGATGAACATGATTTCATGGTACTGCAAACTCTATATTCAAGCAACGCGTTTTGGCCATGCATGTTATTGTGCACATTGTGACATCACTGTTTGTATTTTTTTTTAAAAAGTGGAAATAGTCCCGTCCAACCCATCTTGTGTCCCTTTGCAGTTCTTTGTACTGGACCGACTGGAATCGAGAAGCTCCCAAGATTGAAAGCGCGTCGGTGGATGGCCAGAACCGCCGGGTGGTGGTTTCCGAGGGGATCGGTTTGCCCAACGCATTGACTTACGATTATTCTTCTGGGCACATCTGCTGGGCCGATGCGGGTAAACAAAACACATCCAACCAGAGGTCGTTAATTGTGCCTAATTACTTCTACAAAGCAGTAACTGAGTAACTAACTTTTTGGAGGAAATCATTTGTAAGACAGCTAGACAATTCCTGTCATAACTATGTCGGAACAATTTTGACAAGGTCCTCTTCACGTGTATTTTTTCAACAGACGCAGGGAACAAATTAATCCGTACAGATTAGAAATATTAAATATATTATACGTCGATATTTGGGTTTTACGGGTTTGGATTATGCCGGAATAAAGAAAAATGAATATGAAAGAAATGTGACCGTATTTTCCACACTAAAAGGCGCACCAGATTATGAGGCGCACCTTCAATGAATGGCCTATTTTATCATTTTTTTCATACATTGGTTGCACCGTATTATAAGATGCAATCTACAATGCATCCACTAGATGGAGATACACTCAAGGAAACACCAACATAACGATCGGATGTCAGTAAAACGTATTTAATAAAGCAGCAACACAGTTCACTTGACCAACAGCAAGTTAGAACATTGATTAGTTCACGTTGAACTCTCTTGCCGTTGCCCTCACATGACGTCATAGAAATACGGTGATTCTTTCAAATTGACAATTCTGTAAGGACTCAACGGGGTGACTGCTGACCATTCACATTTTTGTCTCTCTTTCAGGCACTAAGCGCTTAGAGTGTGTATTCCCAGACGGTTCGAGGCGAAGGGTAATAAATCCCAGCCTCAACTACCCATTTAGCATGGTTTACCACAGAAACCACTTCTACTACACTGACTGGAGGAGGTGAGCGTCTTCATTTATTTTGCCACAACAACTTTTTATCCGTTAACTCTGTACTCCCCAACCACCGGTCCCGGGTCAGAGTCCTTTTGGAACCGGGTTGCAGAGACAGACCTGCTAACTGTGAGCAAAAAGCGAATCAGAGTCCATCTTCTAAAACTGGTTTGCGAGTTGAAAGAAACAGTAAACCGAAAGTAAGAGTCACAAATTGACCAAAAGTACATCGAAACACGCAGCGGATAGGCAGCCGTGACTTCTGAAGATTTGACGAGAGAAGTTCCTCCCTCCGGCGGTCTCGCCAGAGCAACGTATGTCGTCAAGAACAAGGCAATACGAGAAACCTCTCGAATCATTTGAAGAAGTAGCGCCCAAGCGGAAAGCGTGTTTGCGAAGGCCGCCCGCGCAAACATTAGCAGTTGAGTCGCTAACACCTAGCTAGCAGTCCCATTTGCAAGTAGCAATGATGCTAACGCCGTAGATCAGATCATAACATTGTAAGGCGTATTTATTATTCCTGATTGGTCCATTTCTTAGTAATTCCCAGTGTTATTTTATTTTATTCTACATTTGTTGGACAGTAGAATCGCACTGTTTGAAACAAATGACAAAAATCGATGTTAATAATATGTTGAATTACTCTTTCGTCATCTTTGCTGTCAGTACTAGCGCTTTCAAACTGGAAATTTAAAAGCAATGACAAAAATGGTTGCCGGTCTGCGAACAAGCAAGTACTTGTTTCAACTGGTCCGCGACACACACACACACACACACACACACACACACACACACACACACACACACAAAAAAAGAAAAAGGTTGGGGAGCACTTCACGAACGATTGTCGCATTCCTTACGTTGCCTCAACGCTTCTTTGCAGGGACGGTGTCATCACAGTCAGCAAAGACAGTGGTAAGCTCACCGATGAATATTTGCCGGACCAGAGGTCTCATCTCTATGGCATCGCCATAGCAACATCCCACTGTTTATCAGGTAAGCCGATATAAGTCGCCTGCACACTTGAATGGTTGATCGAGCCATCGTATGGACGAAGCTGCTGCATGGGGACACCTTGGTGCCTTGAGTGCGAGTGACCCGACTTCAGAGTTTTCACTCTGTGTTCGCGTGTGTGTGCGCGCGCCCTTTGACGTCCACTGATGAAGCATGCCAAGGTTAACGCTACTTGTCATCCATGAAACCAAAGAATACATCCACCGGTGTCATTTGATGCGCTGATGTCATCTCCAAGACTTTTAGAAAACACCTGTAAAGAACAAAGTATCACTCTAAACACAGGATGATGCCCAAAGTAGTAACCCCCCCCCCCCACACACACACACACACAATGTCATGCGTCACTGGCTAAAGCTGTAATAAGAGAAGCACGCTTCAAAGAAGTTGTCGCATGGTGTAATTGGGAGCACGATGACAGCTTTGAAACACACTGGCTTAAAAGCCGTTATTGTTCAACACACACACACACACACTTGAGTAAAGTTGTTGGGCGTTGCTTGTTCAGGATGTTAGTTGGTTCAGCTGCTTTACTCCTTCGTCCCAATGAGGCACGCTTTTTTTTTTTTACCTTACCTGATATTTAGATGAAGTTCATTCTATTAGCTGAGATGGGATGCTTATTGTTTACTAATGATGGGAAAACGAAGCTTCATGAAGCACCTGTGATACATTTTCACACCTCAAGATGGTGCTCTTAGTTTAAATATAAAGGTTAGTGCAATGGAAATGTATTTAAATTCCACTGCATCTTTAAACCAAGAGTGCCCTCTTGAGGAGTCAAAAACGTACACAAGTGCTTCACGAAGCTTCACTTGTCCACCACTATTGTTTACCATCAACATAAAACATTTTCACCATCTGCTACTTTTCGGCGACGGTATCTTGCGTTTGATTGTCAACAGAAGTTATGGAGCAAATGTTCCCGCGAGCGCACGGGAAACGATTGACAGTTTGTCACTCGTGACTTCTGTGGTTTTTCCTTGGGCGTTGTGGTTTCTTGTAAATCAAATTCGAGGCACAAGATGGGGCCAGAGAGGGCTGGTTTGACTCATGTACCCTTTTTGTGTGTGTATGTGTGTCAGGGAACCATTAACAGCAGAACGGCAGTCACACGGTCCTTTGGTGCTAAAGTTCTGGGGCCGTTTTTTTGAGCCGGGGATGTGACGAGCCCTCCCGGTGTCCCTCGGAGGAAAAGGAGGCTCCCGAAGGGACGTGGCTTCCTGTGGATCAGCTCTCACCCCCCCCACCGCCAAGATATAACCACACATTAATAATTTTGTACATTTCTTTTGTACCTCATTTTTTTTTCTACTGAATTTTTATATGCAAGTTTGTTTTTGGAGCCACCAAAGCCGAAGAGTAATATCACATTTTTTTTTTATTTTCAAGTGTGTTTTAAGCAGTAAAGAGCTGTAAAATCTTTGCACCCAACTCAGAGTTTAATCATGGGCCACGTTACGACGCAGCAGTTGATGAGCTCAATTTCGCATGAAGACAGGAAACTTGGAAAGGGTCATCCAAAGTGAGGAATGTAAATCAGATTACAATCATGAAGGCTTTCCCTCCACTGTGTGTCAGAATTTCAGCAGCTCCATGTATGTCATTATTTCCCTGCACCACTAATAGTCCCCCGCCTCCTGATTTGATTTTTTTCGCCCCCCGCTTCATAAAATGTGATATTTATAACATTAAAAAGTGTTCTGGTACTGGACTCGTTTATTTATTTATTTTGCCGCTCTGTGGAAGCACACAAAAAAGGGAACCAAAAAAAAAAAAAATCACACTAGTGTTTTCTAAATCAGAACAAATGGCTGCATCACTTTTAGAACAAAGTCTTGGAAGATAGCAATGTGCACAAAAAAAAAAAAAAAAAGTGACACAGAAGAAAAAACTGGTGTCAACCACAGACTTTGAAATGAACGCCAGTCCTCCAGAACTTCCTTCATGGCCCTCATCTGCCGACCTTGCCCAGCCGGTGGTCTGTTTTTGGGTCGGCAATGACAGCTTGGACTGCTACGATGGCTTCATTGATCTTGGTCTGAAGCTCTCTCAGCTCGTCGATGTGTAGCAGACGTAGGATTTGTGCTGCTTCGTTCAGCGTGGCATCTGGTGAGGAGACCATCAGTCAAATCTACATCCTGCGCGCAGACGTCCATGCAGTTGAACAGTACTTCATTCAGGGGAAATAAAGACACTCACCACCAGTATCAAATCCCAAGGTGTGCTTGTCTAAAGCTACTGGGACACCCTGAAGACAAAGAGGAGAGACATTTTGTGCCTTCGCGCAGAATAAATATTGGGCTAAATATTGTACATAAAATCTCTTGGGGAATTTTGGGGTGTGAAGCGTGGGATTTGGGAATTTTATAAATGTCAATAATTCTCAAAATGCCCTGAATGAGCTGAGCAGTTTGAATTTTAAGGCGTTTGAATCAGTCAAGACATGTGGAATGAGAGACTAAATGTTGAAAATATCACTTAAAAGGAAGTCAACACCAACATTTTACTGACTATGTTCTATGTGGCCCCACAAGTCTAAACATGGCATTCTGCATCATATTGCATTCGTGGAATATGTTTTCTGAGTTCGGTCACGTGACATTCGCAGTCTGGACTGCGAGTGGTCATGACCTGAGCCATGTGATGTCATTTTCAGTCAACATCAAGGGGCAAAATGGCCACCCGCTGAGATGGATAAAAACGCTTAATTCATATTCTACAAAAGGTAATATTAATTAGATTGTCCTGTGTTGACGAGACTGCCTGGACTATATGTTGTTAAGAACATTAGGGGGTTCACTTCCCCTTTATATTTCAGATTTTTACTGTGAAAGATGTGGAATTTTAGAAATGTGTCAAATGAATTGAGTTAACAGAATTTGTAGTGTTAAAACTTCTTTTGCTAACCGTCTCATTTTGGAGTGGAAAATATGGAGTTCTGGCAAAACTTTTTGGGAATGTGGAAAGTAATTCCTCACGAGTCCTGAAACTTTGGAATCTGAAGTTTGAACCGGTTGAGGAATGTGGATGTAGAAGCGTGGCAGGCAAAGGCGAAATGCGTGAATGCTCCTGAAGCATTTGTTGACGATGAAACTGAATTCCCATTTTGAGCAAACGCTAGCAACAACATGAAAAGTGACATTAAATTCCTGGCTTCTCACGTGCTGGGCCAAACGTGTATGTTTACCTCTCTGTTTTTGCTGGCTTTGGCGATGGCCTCTGGTGAAAGCCTTTCTTGGATGAGGATACGAATGGCCTTTCAGGGGGAGACCCCATAAAAAGATGACATTCAGTTCAATGAGATAGAAAAGTGTGTACATTCAATCTGCTTGGGGGGGTTGGAGAGAGCCTCACCTTGAGCATCACCAGGTAATCGTCATGCCGCTGGATCTTGAGGATGTTGGCCAAGGCGAGCACGCCCGCTTTGAAATCCGGCGAGTCACCTGAGTCACAAAAAAGCATCACAAGAGCCTCGGTTCACCCACAGGAGAGTTTGGGGAAAGGGGCAACAAGGTGGGGGTCGTGTTGTGATGCTTACTGTCGAGGTTGACGAGAGGGTCTGACGCCGCACTGCAATCGCTGGAGGCTTCCAGTGTTGGACAATTTCTATATTTGTCCACTAGGCGGAGACACAGAACACACAATCATACACGAGTCACACGAACTTGAGTTGGAAAGCTTCTTTTTACAGGGGATAGGCACGAATAGTTGGGAGGAAAATGGGGGTTGGAGCCAGAAAAAAAACAACATAGACTTACTTATAAATATTGCGAACAAAAATCGTGCGTAAGCGAGTCTGCAGCGGCTGAATTGACGATATGTGGGGCTTCACATATGTGGAGATGAGTTGGTTGAAATGCGCTTTAATAGCAGAGGGTGCAGCCGGTGCTAGTGCGAGCATGTGTGCTGGGTCCTCGGTTTTTGTTCAACTCCATGCGTTAATGATCAAGTGAGAAGAAACACACATATACTTTTCGTGCCTCGTTAGCATTCGCCATTACCTGTTACGTTGTTGGGAGTGTGAAACGAGATGTTAACTAGTGAAAGGTACCGTGTATCAATCACCACGACAGTACAGCAGTAAATGCAGCAATCTACTACCGGGGAGTGGTGCGCTTTGGCTTTCAGAATGAGAGCGTAAAACAAATTGTGTTTTAGGTTTATTCTGAAATCTACCCCAAAATATTAAACACCCCTAAGTCGCGCCCCTCGGGATCACTTCCAGTGTTTGCTACGAACGCTGGTGTCTTAAATGGGGTCAGAATGTACAGTACCGTAACGTGTTTGCATTGCCATTGCTTGCCGACAAGGGATTCCTTTTTTCCTATGGCGCCGTCTATTGACCAACCTCGGTATGGCAAGAAACACACAAATCTGTAGTCTTACCATTGTCTCCATATTCATATCGCACGGCCAGACCCAGCAGCCAGTCCACAGCCTCCGCTCTCTCAGACACTCCAAAAGGACAGTTGACGTCCTGCAAATACTGCACGCAAAAGAAAATAATACCTTCATATTTTGAGGTTTACGCACCCATGTCTTAATCTGACAAACCAACTTCAGTCAGACATTGTCGTTCCGTTGCATTCAGCTACAGGAAACTAACTTCAATACAGTACAAGGAGAGCTCCACCGCTGTCTGCCACAATGATCAAGACATTGCTAAATTTATAGTCTGACAGCAGCAATCCAAACCGAGATCAGTTAGTTTCGTAATTTATGTCCTATGAGCTCACCTTCTGGTACGCTTTGGGCCAGTCCGAGCTGGGGATATTTCGCAGGCTGCCTCGGTCTTCAATCTTGTAGTGTCGAATCTTCTGGTCCTCTAGCCACACTACAAAGTTCCTGAACTGGGTCTCATCTGAGAAAAAGACACTCATAATATGGATGTTTTGGAGGATTGTGTTTGAACCCGGTGTGTTTGGATTCAAGTATCCAAAGCCAAATACCTCATTTTTTCCCTCTCTGCTAAGTGAAATGTTTTGCCTGCAATTTTTGATTTTGTAAGCATTAAGTTACAAAAAGCAAGTCATTTTTTTCATGTTTTTAATTAATCAGCCGATTAATTAGTTATCGGAAATTTATCATGCCAAATATCAGAATCCACATCTCTTGTTATTCTTCTTGTGTCCCGAATTCTCCATGTGGTAGTCCAGTCTTTGTCCTAACAAGCAAGACAATTCAGTGCACTTGTAGAACGACTACGACACACAAACAGAACGACGATCTTCAGTGACGTTTTCCCACTATTTCCACACTTGCAGGACAACTCGGGCGCACTCGTGGAACAAGTGTATCTTTCTATAGAGGCAAAACAGTGCACTCGTTGACATCTGCGGGCTACTCGTACTACTAGTGAACTGCGACATGTTAATAAATTTTAGAATAGTATGTCACTAGTAGCAACATGCAGTTGATATAAAGAGATTCTGGCGTCGCTATAGATATACAGTACTGGTATGCAGAAATGTCAGACAGTAGCAGCAAGGAAGTCACTAATACAGTCTACTAGTGCAAAATTGTTATTCCAGTTTGTCTTACCTGTACAGTCAAATCCACCGGGACTATGATAGTCTAAGGCGGTCAATTTTCTTCTAAACATTGCACGTTTGTCTTCCACGTTCCCCAATAAAAACGCTTGTCACGTCACAGGAGCTAATGCCACTCGCTTTCAGTTTGACAACAGTACGCATGCGCAAATTCAGCCGTCCCATTGCAGCTTCCGTCTATTTCTTCTTCGGTGAAATTTATTGGAGATCGGCAAACGGCCTTAATAGTGTTTTACCGCCACTACCTGAACCGGAGTCTGAACTGAGAATGTACACAATCTGTGTAACTGTATCGAGAGAAAAATACAGGTGTGTGATGGGTCACACAAGTATTGGAGACACCAATTTTTTAGAGAAAAAGGCCCGTTTATTTGTTTGTTTTTTAAAAATCAAGACATTTTTAAAATTACGAAGAAATCTGAGGCAATAAATTTTATTCGAAGACCACTAACATGGGTGCAAATTAACGTTAATGTTGAGAAAACAGTGTTACCTCACGTTAACTGCACAAGAGCTAATTTAGCAGAAAAAAAGCGTTCTGTCGTTTTCTGATGTTAGTCATACTGTATTAGTATGAATGACAATTACATTACAGCTGAAAAGAACGGAAAAAAAAATACAATCGGACATACCTTAGGTCAACCCATGGATACAGCAAGTGGTAACTAAGTCAGTGAAGTTTTTTCCTCTTCCCCTTCTGGACGACGAAAGGTTCTATTTAACAGTTGCATTTATATCGGGACAGCTTCATAGTATCATTTCCAATATTTAAATCTAGCCTGTCATACAAAACAATGTTTTATTACAAGTCAACAAAATCATACCCTAAAAACAAATGAAAAACATTCAGAGGGTGCTCAACTGTGTGTCGTGTTTAGTAGTAAAAATGTTTACAGCATAGTGGTTCCATGGCGATTTACTAATATTTATCTGAACTACCTGCATTACACACGAGACAAACTAAATACATTTAACTTAGGAATCACTTTTGCAAAAGCTACTTACAGTTGGTCTCAGGGCAGCTATGTTTATTCAACAAGTGCATGTTTTGCTATTTTGCACATGGATTATTTGACATTTTATGTAGGTTTGAAGGGGCTCCAAGGCCAGCTGCAACACACAGCTTCACTAACACACACACATACACACACACACACACACACACATACACACACACACACACACACACACACACATACACACACACACACACACAGAGGAACAAACAACAAAAGAAAACCTTCAAAATGGTAGGGAAAACGTTTATCGAACACCATACTATACAAGATGTGACCAAAAATGTCTTAAGATGATTAAAAAAAGGGGAACAATGGGAGTGGGTTTGTCAAGAATGTATTCGCTCAAAAGGGCCGCATGCGCGGTCCAAGGGGTTGAGCTCTGTTGGGAGGCGTGATGGCTATGTCTAGATAATCTCCAATCTGGAAGCGCTGAGACTGCAGTGTCATGGAGTCGTCAGCGCACTTCTTGCCAGACACAGTGTTGCCAATGTCTTTAAAGCTAAAGGAAGAGGGGAAGGAAAGGGGACATTTTTATCAGTACTGAAAGTAATGTCAAAATGCCAATTAGCATACCAAATGCTGCTGTGGCACTCACCGATACACCTTCCCTCGGAGGTCAGGGAAGACGATGGCAAAACTGAAATGGGTTCCTTTTTTCCTGGCCTCCGGGTACACCTCCTTCACGAGGCTGGTCAGCTCACGCAGAGTAGCGTCCATCCTGGAACAAACACGGACATCAGAGAACGGTGGCACAACCTACGCTTGTCGAAAAAAGATTTTTGGAAAGGCCTGAGGCAGAAATTTTGCTCTCCGCCTTTTTTTTTTTTTTTGCGATCAGAATAGTTGATAAATCATTACAGTCTCACCATGTGTATATCTGCAGTTCACTGGAAGGAACATTGCCACGGGCAAATTCATCTTGGCGGTGGTGTCGGCCGTTGTTGGTGGTAAAAACTCGCAGGAGAAGGGGACAAGTCTGCGACAGAGACAAGTGTACACGTCCTTTAAACTATAAACGATCACAGCGGGGAACAATTTGGGGGTTGGAAGGGAGATCTGCGCCGTAGCTCAAAAACTTGACGTGATAGAGAAAAACTTGTATGATGCACTCCGAAATTGGTTAAAAACAGCTATCAGTACCAACTCAACAAAACTCGATTTAGAAGACCTGTAACACTTTCGACGTATGCTGACGATTGAAAAAAACTATAAACTCAGCTGCAAGCAAAGCACGTTAGTTAGCTTCGTGCTAACAGTTAAAGTGAGACGCCCATGCGCTGCGCGGCATATACCTTTTCTCTGTCGATTGGCTTCTCGGTTTCCTTCTTGATTTCTTCCTGTGTAATACGCGATTCAAGGGCCATTGTCGGATGTGTTAACAATGCTTGAGTTCCACAGTTTATCGGAACTTTCTACCGCCGTGTTTGGATGGATTTGACGCACCGTTGTGCACAGAACAAAACCTGCGACGAAGTTTCCGCTTCCTGTTCTTCGGCTTTGCGCCCCCTGCCGCTTCGGAGTCATCTTTTTCATAGACATTGATAGATGCCGCGCGTGCTGTGTCCGCCGTCGTCTTCAATGCGTCAGAGTGGCCGCCATAGTGGAACAGTCATCACCGATCTGTCAGCAGTACAAGGCAGCGTGAAAGTGTTTGTTTTTCCGATAAAATCATATTGAAGTTCACATTTCTGTGCCTAGGATAATCAGCGCTGTCAAATACAACTCCAGAGAGTAAAAACTCTGCCACAGCAGGTTAAACCCTGCCGGTTGAGTAGAAGCACCATTGGGTAAAACTAAACTGTGGCGAGTTTTTTTTTTTACCTTCTGGACTTGGATTTGACTCTTCCGTCAATAATTATTGTATTCAACGAGTGAGAAATATTGAAGTTGCATATTTATAGCAGAAATCATAGAGTGGAAAATGGAAAAGTATGCAAATTGAATGGTGACCCTGGTACATTCTCATTATAGAGCACTTAAGACCAGCATGATACACACATTTACACGCACACACACAATGTGTGTGTGTGTGTGTGTGTGTGTGTATATGTGTGTGTGTATATGTGTGTGTGTATATGTGTGTGCAGTGTGACCCGTAGTTATAGTTTTCATGGTGGGAGTGGGGGTTCATATTGTGACGCTATGGCGTTATTTAGTGATGGATTAGAATAAGAATAATAAGAAAATCTTTTTTTCCCCAATTTATAGCAGCAGTTATGAAAGGAAGAAACTCACAACTCAAACTCACAGGCGCCTGTGTTGATTTCAAGAAGCTTTTGCGAAAAAAAAAAAGAAAAAAAAAGGTTTTAACACCACTGGTTGTATACATGCTTGCACTCCCTCCTCCCTCACACCACGACCTCACATACCACCCACCTTTAGCCACACACCACACTAAACCCCCCACCACCTCCAAGCCCCCACCACCCTGCGCACCCCCAACACGGGGGCACACTATGTGACAGAGGCGGATGGCCTTGGCCACGCGGGACGCAGCCGCTGCGCTTGGCCTTGGTGGGACTCGTCGTTCCACGCGCGCCTTCTTCACATTGGACTTGCCTCATTCCTTCTTTTGTTTCACTTAAACTCTCCCTTGTTCTCTCAGACAGTCTCTCTCTCTCTCTCTCTCTCTCTCTCTCTCTCTCTCTCTCTCTCTCTCTCTCTCTCTCCCTCTCTTTTTCTCTCTCTCTTTTGTGCCCCCCACCCCCACCCCACTTCCCACCCCGCCATCCCCACTGCTCATCACCCCAACTTCACGAGTGGTCACCTCCTACTCACCTGTGGGACAAGAAGGATTGGAGAAGACTCGCTTGGGGCAGATGTGCTCGGAGGAGAGTGGGAAGAAGGTGGGTGCAAAGTGATGCTCTTGTTGAAAGTGGAGGGGGTGTCACCCGGCATCTCCCATGTTGACTCACTTCTCTGCTCATGGTGATTTGGGTTACTGTGCACATTTGTTAATCTCTTTGTTGAATAATTATGAACAGAGTGACTGCATGGACACCGTTGCAATGTGTCAGGCACCAAAGTTTTCATGATCCTCTTAATCACGAGTCATTTTACAACTTTGCCAGCCCCGTTTTTTTTCGTCCGACTGCAAGGAAGGTTGCTCAACTCAAATGAACCAGATGCAAATGAGGAATTGTCAGTCGTCATAAACGATCACAAATCAGATCCGTATTACCCCTAAAAATTGTTGTCGGTTGTATTTTTTTCCCCTCTATTATTTTTTTCATGTTTACCGGACACAAAATTCACAATGCATCTTTATCTGCAGTTTATAATTTATA